TTTCCTACAAAGGTACCACTCTTAGACATAACAAACTTGTCCGACTCAAAAACTAACTTAAAAGCATGCTTATTCAGCAGACTTCCAGACACAAGATTTTTGTAGACTTTTGGTACATGATACACATCGGTAAGCATCAAGATTTTCCCGAAAGTGAATTCTAATTCCACTTTCCTTTTCCCTTTGACTGCGGTAGTTGAGGAGTTTCCCATGTAAAGGACTAAGTTATCTGTCACTGGTTGATAGGTGGTGAGCAAATTCTTGTCATTCCAGACACGCCTTGTACCGCCTGAGTCAATCCACCAGTCTCTAGTGTCTTCAAGGAGTTCACCTCGGAAATAACAACCACAAAATTCTTCTTTGGCTCCGATGCACTTGGTTTCTTTTTCTTGAGAGACCCACATTCATCTTCGTAGTGCCTTGCTTTTCCATAGTGCCAGTATTCACCATTTTTCTTTGTGTTTGGGTTATTGCTACGTTGAAACTTTCTTTTCTGATTGTACTTGTTGGAATTCTTTCCTTTTTCCATCACATGAACTTTGAAGGTATTAGCCCTTAGTTCTTCCTTACTTTCTTGACATTTTGACTCTTCCTTCGCATAGAGGTATTGAGCTAATTCCTCAATAGTAAGATCCTCAATTTTGTGTTTAAGACTTTTCCTATAGTCTTTCCATGATGGAGGAAATTTATCAATGATAGAGGAGACATTAATGGACTGATCGATTTTTATGTCTTTCTATCTAAGCTAACTTAATATGTGTTATAACTCAAGTAATTGATCAAGTACAGATTTACCATCTACCATTTTGAAATTCATAAATTTTCTACCAAGAAATTTCTTACTTGTAGCATCGTCAGCCAGATACTTAGTCTCGATTTGGCTCCATAACTCATGTGTCCCCTACAAACGTAGTTGTCATTCTCTCACTAGTCCTGGTGCGAGTCTGAGCAACAATCTTGTCTTTTGTTCTTCAGGGTATGGTGTCTTCAATACATACACCACATTGAGCGTGGTCAGAAGGAAGTGCAACTTCTTCTGCTAACGCCTGAAATTCCTTCCATTAAAGCGGTCAAGCTTGAGGCAGTCTTGTGTCATCTTCTGCAAGGACATCACCATGATTAGGAAATACTGTCTTTAGATTGTTGGTTCAATGGTCTCTAGGATGACGATGTTGATGACATCACTTCAAAAGAAAACTTGAAATACACTTCGAGTTACTTTACAAATGTTGCTTTCCTATAGACAGTATTTGCCCCTACCAAATGGTGTGCTTCGAGTTAATAGCAAATCCGCCTTCAAGATACAACGAACTTGATTTATAAATCTTTTGTCTATGTTTGTACAAATGAAGACAGATCAAAATACCTTCAAATTAATTGAAAGCTAGAAAATCGGGATCTAATATTCTATTTCTACAGTTAAACAGAATATAGAAAAACAGAAAGCACTTGATTGAAAAATTGAAATCAAGAAAGAGAGAGAGAAATATTGCTTTGGAACTTTCGAATGGGTTGAATGGCTTGATTGCAGATCTATTTATAGGCCTAGATGCACTTGATCAAAAGAGTCATGATCCTTGATCGCACCTGCTTAGATTAACCATTAGATCAAGTTCCGACGGTCTGGATCTAGTCCTAATCGAACTCCCGATCATGAGATACAACACATGGATGATCAACGCTCATGATCTAATTGATTTTGAATAGACACGCAACCGTTCTAATGTTGCGCCACATCATCACCACGTGTGTGTTTTGAGCCCACCATGTCATTGCCACCAAACTTTTTGGAGCAAATAGGAAAGCGCCCTCATGGCACCTGTGCAAAGTGCACCATCAAATGCCACACGGCCCACTCCACAGTGCGTATGCGATACACCATCCTTGTGGTGTGTGAGCATACACTCTATCACCTTTCCCACATCCCTTATTCAAAAGAATATTTCATGTGGCACTACAAGAAATTTCACTTTTTGTGATTAAATTTTTGGTCGCCAAAAGTGCGATTTTAGTCGCCGAAAATTTTGCCCGACTAAATATTTTGGTCGCCGGATTGGTCGCGGGAAGATTGTTGGGGAAGGTATTGGCGACTAAAAAATATTTAGTCTCCAAAAGTCCTATGAATAACGACTAATATTTTTAGTCGCCAAAAATAATATTTTAGTCGTCAAAAATCTTATTTTCCGCTACTAAAACTTTGGTTGGCCAAAACTTGAAGTATCTACGGCGACCAAAGTTTTAGTTGCCAAAGGATTTTTTTTTCATCTTATTTTTTATAGCTATTAAATTCTTAGTCGCCTAAAGTCTGCTTTTATTTTTGCTACTAAATATGTAGTAGCTTTTCTCCATTTAATTTTTATTTTTAGCTACTAAATATTTAGTAGCCAAAAGTTTTTTTCCATTTTATTTTTATTTTTAGCTACTAACTATTTAGTCGCTAAAAATATTTACTTCTTTTTTTCTACTAATTATTTGGTCGCCAAAACATGATTTTATTTTATTTTTTTAATTAATTGTCCACAACATTTATGTATTCCACGCAACTTGTATCATATTTTTCATTAATTTCTAAATTATATGCATTATCCTTTATCAATGCAACCTATAATCTATACATATATAGAATAATACATCTATCAATTATCATCTAAATCCATTATCAATAATACCCATTTCATTATGAACTATCAAAAAATTTTAACTTGTAACATCATATTCCAAATATTATATATATCCACACCAACCAAGTATAATCCATCTAAATTAAATATTACATACAAAAACACTAAATTTCCAAAATAAAGGGTTGTAGAAAAATAAATGTCTTCCATATATAGAACAAATACTCTTCGTATACAAAAATAAATATCCACAATAGCCTATGCGAAAGCAATCTGTAAAAAAAAAAAAAAAAAAAAAAACTATTAGCACTTATTCAATAAAATTGATATTTCAAATTATAACAATTATAAAAGAAAACTCAATTAGAATAGCTCTATGTGCTAACATGGTGAGGAGATAAAAAAAAAATTGTTTGGTTTAATTACTCTTGAAAATTTGTTTGTAGAGAATTTTTCTCAAAATTTTTCCCAAAAACAAACCAAACAAGCAATGTTTTTCTTAACAATCACCAGGGCTGGGCAACAATGTGATTATTCTCAATAGTAACATCTCAAAGGGTAGGGGTTGTTAAATCTCTCATCTTTTAGACGTGGACTAAACCACAAAGCTAAAAGAGCTTTATAAGGAATAAGGAAGGTTTTTGAAAACAATAAAAAAACAAGCCCATTTTATTTTTGGAAAATCCCCAACACTTCATTTTCCATAATCCATCTTCTGGTAAAATTATTCTCATTAAACTCATTCAAAATGTATGAGAATAGTTGAGTTCGAATTGACAGGACCGAACAATTAGCATAATGTTTTTAAAAATTATTATATGTTTGTGAGAGAGAGGATGTAGGTGCAATTTACATAGTTGTTGTTCAGTGGTCCCTATGATCAATCCGAATTTTTTTTTCTTTCTATTTTTGGGTTTGGCTAGCTCACAAACTTAGAAGTTATTTTAATTTTTTGTTTCAAAATTGTATATTACTATGCCTGGATTATCTTGCTCGTTTCATCACTTAACAATTTTCAGGTGAGCAGATGGGCAAGTGCTAAGTGCTGACTGGTCTTTTTTATTTTTTATTTTTATGGGATTTTACATTGACACAGTTTATTTCATTTTACACGTTGTTGTTGGAAAAATATTTCAGAGCTCTAGAACAAGAGTTCTAGAGCTTTGCTCTAATGATGTGGCAGCTGTGTGGGACCCACCTTGATGTGATGTTTTGGCTTGATTTTTTTTTTTTAAGAAGCTGCCAGCTCGGTAGAGCTTTGTTTAGAGCTCTACTTTTAGGGCTCTAAATCATCACTGATTGTTGTTTGGATTTGGATTGTTATTTGATTATATATTTTCCAGTGGACTGTGTTAGCATGGTGATGCTACTAGGTCATAGGTCCAGATTTTGTGGTTCAGTCATTTATGTCCCTGGAGTTGGACTTTACATTGAGATAATGAGGGAATAGTTTAGTAAGGATTATGACTGTAGTTAAGAAACACAAAATACAAAATGATAACAAATTTAGAATCTCCTTATAATTTTTACACACATCAACACATCTTTATACACTTTTTAGACATTTTAAAAAGCGTTTTACATGTTTCTCAGAATTGACATTTTGATTTTAATAAAACAAAATTATTGTTACAAAATTAATAGAGGTTTTAAACAAATTTATGGAAGAAATCTTTGCAATGGAAGGTGTGATCGAGATTCAAATGGGTAGTATGTTCATGATTCTAACATTTCCAGATAAAGATTTTATACATGACGTGTTGAAATGTGAATGGTTGTTGAACTGGTTTGCTGAAGTTAAACCATGGTCAGGGAAGCTGTTAACTTTTCAAGATTAGTTTGGATTAGTTGTATGTGGGGTTATCTTGAGTGTTTGGAATGCTTGATACCTTCTTTAACATTGGTAAAATCTGGGGCCACAATCGAAGATTGACCAATGTTAAAGAAGGTATCAATGCTTACCAGTTAAGGTTTTTTTGGTGTTGGTAGAGTTTAATTCTGACAGAAGCATAATTGAAGATTGACCAATGGATTAGATTGGAAGTTAAAAGGGAAGTAATTAGGATTATCCTCCTCAAGGAGTCTCAACTTTCCCAACCTAGGAGTCAACTCCTGCCAGGACTCTGGTCTTTCGCTGAACATTTCGGACGAGGCAGTGAACCTTATCGTATATTGGCCTGTCACATTTCGCTGACCACAGTTTTTCATTCTAAAGAAGACCTACCTTCTTCATTCTCAACAGAAATACAGCAACAAAACTGTCCTTCCATATAAATTGCCATGGCATTAACTCAGAACTTATTTTGCTTCAATTCTGCCCTAATCACGGTTTACTACATCCTTCTCTGCATAGGAATTCTTATGTTATGTTGTAGGATATTACTTAAACGGAAGTTGCTTGCCATATATTATCCAAAAAAAAATCAGGAGAGGAAAAGAGCGATAATTATGTTCTTATCAAGGAGACACTGATTTTCTAGATGAACCAACTTTAATATCCTATATTAAACATGAACTGGACAACATTCACCTAAAAAACAGTAACAAAACAAGCAGATAAAAAAAAAATGAGAGAACAGGTAAATCGAGTCCAACCAAAAATAATGATGTGCAATAACATCCAGCTCAGTTTTCCTTTTTCTTTTCATACCCACCCAACTTGTAAGCAACTAAAACCACTGCAAGCCACATCCCTACATTCTTATATTTAAGCAACCTTTTCTGAAGAAGGTTCTTCCTGCCAGTCCATTTCAAAAGCAGTCTCTCCTTGAAAGGAAGGTATGGAAATGCTCCATAATAATACTTCAAGTATGGATCAGGGCGCTGCAATGAAATATTAATAAATGGTATCAATAAAGTGACAATGCTATTTCAAACAGTCAACATTCACTCACAGAAAGACAGAGAAAAAGGAAAAACTGCAAGTTACATGTCCTCTACCAATGAAAAATCATTATATTCCACTGTTCTATTTATTTAATTTATTTTATATTTGATTAATAAATACTGCCTTTGTCACTGGGATGCGCAGGAGGCAGGAAACATAAAGATAACTCTGCTTCAGATTTGAAGTGCCAGTACACATGGAAAATATTCAAATACAAGCTGAGCAAACAATAATAAAATAATCATGTATTGAAAGCAAACCAACTCATATAGCTGTAATGCAAAAATAAAGCAGAAAATTGCAGTGAATAGTGCAGTAGCAAAAGTTATACGGAGGTAACCAATTTCCCTTGTTGCCAAGATTTTGTCAAAACCCTACTTTGCCACTTCTTCATAGATCCATAGGTGAATACCAAAACAGAATTGTGGACAGGAGTTTTGTTGGGTCCTTTAGTATACTGGCTCACGCTATCACACAGAATTCACTTGCTTGGAAGACATGTATCTTATTACCCTCACTCTAAGGCAGTAAAATTACATATAAAAAATAAGAGCGAAAAATTCATGAAAAAAGCGGAAAATACAATAAAAAACCCTGAGGTTTATGATAATAGCACACATCCCCTAACCTATCTGAAACTACAATGACCTCCCTTCTTCTCATTGTTATAAAACAATTCCCCTTCTGTCAGACAACCATCATTATCAACAACATAATTTGCATACTCATCTAACATCTTTTCTCCCAAAAAAGAGGGGAAAATTACGCATCAGGCTAACTTTTCAACCAAAAAAAAAAAATCAAATTAATGGACAACTTTATCATATTAATAATTAAATTCATAAACTTTTTCATTGTTTTGTAAATATTTTCTATAAACTCCACTGGGGTATAATCTCATCAAAACAAAAAACAAAACAAAAAAGCTATCATAATGAAATAGTAAATTGTAAAGTGATCTATACGCTTGGAACTAAATGAAATCTATTTTTATTTTTTATTGGCACTGGGATGTCCGGATCAAAGACCAACTAATCCCCAGAGGTGCACTCAATCTATTTTAGTAACTCTAAATCCTTCAAGTAGAGCTAACTCAGTCACCATCATCCAAGAGCACCCTCCTCCCTAACCCTCTCCACCCATCATAACATGACCATCTCAATAGCATCCTTGTGCCACCCTACCACCTGGCATAGCTGTTACACCAACAATACCAAACCACCATGGCCAGCATGCTAACTGAAATTCAACCACCATGGCCACCTCGCCTACAACCAACACCAAAACTGCTACAATGATGGATGAAATAGGCGGGCTGGGACCAACCGCCTCTCCACCTAAAAGTTTAGAATACCCACATCCCCAAGTTAAACCAGCCACATCACCATGGATGTCACACACAACAAACCCTTGCAAACTTATCATATCTGCCAATCCACAATCCCTTCCACACTCATCGCCACCTCTAGAGCTCACAGCTAGCACACCCACCACAACCTCAATAGGTACCACATCTGAACTCACGGCCAGCCATGACCACCCTTACCCATGTAGACACACACTCTAACTCCACCCCATGACCACTATCACCATCTTCAACACCTCCATCACTCAAGTTGAAAATCCATGCTTTTAAGACACTCGTAATTCACTTCAAAACCACAATTTTTTGCTCAATTAATATCATGTTGATTTTTCCTATAGCACCCTAATTACAAATTTCATGCCAATATTTATAGGGAAATCTATGTGCAGAAACATGTATCCACCAATTATTGTGGCCCCAGGAAAATCAATAACAATTATCGGTGGAAAGGCTGTAGGAGAAGAGTGAACATCTAGTCATAGGATGGAGAGCAGTGAACATCATGGTAACCCTATACATGTGATAAAAGGACCTGTTTAAATTTTATGCTCAAATTTGCGAAGTTTAAAACAAGATTTAATCATTTTGTGCAAAATATTGTCGTCTGCTTGTACAAATTAAGGGTACATTTACTTTGCCCATAAATGTTTAATGAGTAATGCTGAATCACATGATTGCTTGGACAGTAGGTTACAAACAATTATGCCATGGAAACATTGGAGAAATTCATGTAGTCGAACCGATGAGTGGAGTTGCTAAGGTGATTGTTGTCACTGCGCTCCAAGCAACTCAGATAATAGATATTTGGACCATGGGTTCTATGTCTAATTATGGACAGTCTATTGGTGCTTTTGTAGGCATATTTTAAATGTTGCTATTGGTATGATGCCTGTAAAGCATTTGAAGGAATGCTGCAATGAAATCTTGTGTTATTGACTCTGTTAATATCCAATCTTGTACAATGTAATAGATTCCTGTTTCCTAAACATGATTCTAGAATGTGTTAATATCCAATCTTGTACATCGTAATAGATTCTTGTTTCCTAAACACGCTTCTAGAAAAAGTTGAATCTAACATATGGTGCTCTCACTGCTTGTATTCAACTAAGGGCATGGAACATGGAAAGAAGGTTACAAGTACGTAATGATGAGAGCATCAAAAAAAAAAAATATTCAACACCTGGCATGGCAGAAGTTCTATATGCAAAAATGTATGTATTCACAAGGCTGTCTTGGTGTTTGAGACGATCACTATCAAGGATGTCTACCTTTGCACTGCCACAATAAATGAGTTCTTAATGCAAGAGATGCCTTATGTCCTTAAAGTATATTCTCTCAGATGCTGAACAACAGAATAGACCCAATGAATTTACTTTACCTATTAGTCTTCCTAACGCTTCTTTCTTTCTTTCTTTTTTTTTGGTAAATATGATTACTCTCTCACTTCCCCCCTTCCTGCATATATTTAAAATGTGGTTGTTGCACCTGTACTTGAACTTGAACCATACTACATGAATAGATATATGCACATAGTCCTCTGCATATTATAAAATTATAACCAATTCATATTTGGTTTGGCAAGTTTCAAAAAAGTTAAAAAGTCAAAAAGTCACTATCCTATTTAAGTCACATCATCTTATTTAAGTCACATCACCTTTCTAACACATCACTTAAAACCCAACCCAAATCCAACCCATATTTCATAAAAAGTCAGAAAGTGCACTTATTTAGATCATCCCAAACAACCCCTGTAACTTATTGACCAGTAAATGTACAATAAAAGAGCATCAAGGAGATGGAACTTAAAACCTATAATAGGATCTAAAAAGGGAACAAACAAACAAGGACCAGCGGGAGTAATTCTCCCACTGGATTTTACAAAAATACTGTTTTAACATTATTTTTTTTTATAAAATTGTTGCATGTGGACAATTTGCCCCCACTGATTGAATCTCAAAGTAGGGGCATTGTGGAAAGAAAATTATATTTATCTTTGTTCATCCCCTCCAGATTTCCTCTCTCCCTCCTCCCTCCACACCACCGAAGCCCTCCACCCAAAACTCCTGCAATTCACAATCCTCCATCAATGAACATAGTGAAGACTATCGCAATCCCCGCAATTCACATCAATTTATCGAACGATTTACAGCCAATAATTAGGGTTCACTCTCATAAAGACATGTACATATATTAAAGTGGTCTAAAGTACACAATTACCCCTTGGACTACTAAACACATAACATCTAACACTCCCTCAAGTTGGTACCACTAGGATATGGGTACAGCTAGGATACATTTGTTAAAAAAATATTTCTAAGACTATTAGTATTGTATTATACATAACATAAGCTCAAAAAATGGTGAGAAGCTATTCTTTAGAAATTAGGTGTTTGTTTAAGAGCCAATAATCATTTTATTTTAGTTTTTGAGTAGGTCCTATAAAAATTTATTTCAATATGAATTCTAAACTATTTATATTGTCCTTGTGTTTTTTCCTTTCTTACGTAAAAGTTCTATATGCAAATTTACTTGTTTAATTGTTGAAATCTACTTTTAACATCATCATATTTTCTTATAATCCTTCACATTGTATAAAATATAGATATAGAAATGGGTACATGTATGACACAAAAAAATACCAATGTGATAAATTCTTTAAAAAGTAGAGTACTACTTTAATCTCATTATTTTATTTTTCTCTAAGAAATAAGCGAAGTAATGAAAAATTATTATTGTATTTATCCTCACAATCATACCTCAATATTCACTAAAATTATACAATCTCAATTTTATAATAGTTTGAATACATGACTTAGAATATTCGATATCTCTCAAATTAAAGAAAATAAATTTCAAGTATAAAATATGTTTAGGAAGTATCAGACACATATTTAGAAGTATCTGAGGAGTATGGATGTCCTATACAAATACGATATAGATACAACTCCCTTTTAAAAGTATTTGTGCTTCATAGATTGTCATCATCCCAATAGCCAATGCCATTAGACTGGATGCACAGTCCCTCCATGGACCACAAATGCCAGCCTAGCTGGATGCACCATGGGATGCGTAACATATCATAAGTAGGAAGATCATCTGTATTACATCCAAAAATACATACCACATATGACAAGAGCAACGACAAAGAATCATTTACTATCCAAATCTCTTGCAAAATGTATCACATACATAAGGGCATATCATATTCAAGGAGTTCATAAATCATGCGAATCAAGGGCATATCATATTCAAGGAGTTCATAAATCATGCGAATCAAGATTAGTTTTAATGATAAACAAGTGTAACACATCAGGTAACATCCAAGTATAATATGGCTTCAAAGTCATATGGAAACAATGAGATTCTGAAATTAAATGCAAACATGATTCCATGTATTTGCTTACTCAACTTGTACTCATACTGCTCTCTTGTTAATCATTCTTAAGTCCCTTAAAAAAAAAAAAATCATTCTTAAGTCCCTACATTAAAATGTTGCACGTAAACATTTTATATTAATACAAAATATTGCTATTTGTTATTATTCTCTCTTTAGTTTTCCATCCTTTTTGAGTTTTTTCCCAATGGAAAAATCAATATTTTTAATCATTAGTCCAATTGATCTCCGAATATAGGGGTCCAAGCTACATTATCTAGAACATGGATCGTTCCGGTATATGGAACGGAAACGGGAATGTGGTATGCCACATACTCTAAAATATGGTACAATAAGAGTAGACTTATATATATTACACTTAAAAATTTAAGATACTTGTAAAATAATTTTCTTTTAACTATTAGGTATCCAATAAATTTTTTTTTTCTTTTCATGTAGCAAATCATTTATATGAAAATTATGACCCATTTTTAATTTTTTGTCTCATGAAAACTTAATTCAACTTAGATTTTAGTTCATATATTTGATTTTTTTTTTCTCCTAAGGTAACATTTAAGGAAATATATTGGAAAAAACTTTTGGGATCGCTTCGGATTAGTAAATTTACTGTTTTGGAACGGAAGTGTACCATGTTTCGGAATGTGCGTACCAATACGTAATTCGCTAGAGTATTAGTGTTTTTTGGTAACATAGGGTCCAAGTCACTTAAAAGTTACAAAAGAATAGATCAAGGTCAATGCAGATCACTCGAGGAGGTTGATGGTCGCTCAAGTGAGCATATCTAGAGAGCAGGTCTACAGATTTGGTGTAGCAATTTCAAATGAGAATCTCTACCATCTGGACTACAAAAGCCTACTTTCTAATAGTTCTTGTCTCACTACAGAATTCCAAGTAATCAAAGAGTTATGAACGGGAAAGAATGAACAGGTCAGAGGTTCTCTTGAAGTTTGGGTTCTTCTCTCCAAAGTCCATGCCCAAGGCTAAAATCCAAAGCTCAAACATGCAAAAAACCTACACCAAGGAATCCTAAATCTTCATGTCCTCAAGACTTATATACATCAAGTCCATATATGACAATTTCCAATTTTACCATGAAAATAAAGCTTTAGGTATGCAAGGTTCCTCTATCAAGGCCTTCAACATATAATCTCAATAACTCAAGTTCAATTCACTCTCAATTTTATGATGATAATGGATTCTACATGAGGTTAGAAACAAGAAAGCAATACATAAATTGAATTTCCTGACCTTGGTTGGGGTTTTTCTACAATTTGTCTTGAATTTCCTTTAGGTCATCTTCTGTTTTTCCCTCTAGCAATTTCCCTATTCTCAGTTGCAAATTCAGTGAAGCTAAAATAGGAGACCAGCTTGTCTCTCCAATTTCCCACATGAGGTATAGAAAAAAAAAAAAAAAAATTATATAAAAAACAAAACTTGAGGTGGGAATGTAGCGTTTCTCTACTGGCTCTACAAAGTATGAGGTGGCTCCTTCTAACTTAATCCACTCACTAAAACTAATACACTTAAAAATTAGCCAATTACCTCTTTAACTTAGTTAACCATTATCCACCAAAATCTAGGCCATGTTTGGGAAATCAACATGTTAATACACACAAACAACATTAATTTAAGGTGCAATTAAGCAATGTCTTACTATGCAAGACCTACACATAATTTTCTTCATTTTATTTACTAATCATTGATTAAACACAATTAGCATAACTTAAGTAAACACATACCTAGATAAATTTTTATGCAAAAAATTGTCATAGTGATTTCAACAGCACACCACACACAAGCACATAACCCTAATACCACTCGTACAAAATAACTTAATTGTTAGGATTGCTTTAGCTAGTTTGGCAATTTTCAATGACAAAATCTCTGGAGTACGTAATTTTAGGACTTTAGGTTGATAAGATTTTTTAGTGAGTTCTCCACTTGAAAGATTCACCTGTGTCAAGTGATATTGTTTTTGGTACCATTGCAAGCATTTATACTACCTTCTATAAAACCATTACACAACAATGTCTTACATCCTACTTGCATTAGGCACCATCCCACTTAGGGTTTTAGTATTATGTGCCACCTCTACTAGGTTCTTAAGCAATTCAGCCCATTTGAATGAAAAATGCAACTATTGCACTTTAGTGAAAAATCACAGAGGATGTCTCTACCTATATTTAAACCACAAGAGGGTAAAGTGCTATATCCTTTAACCAATAGTGGGCAAACATTACCCTATACCTTTCCTTTCTTCAGGTTTTACCCCCATGAAACCCACAAACCTACAATCCCCCAAAATGAGTTTGTCTCTCCCATTGCAGAGAAATTCCATAGCATTACAGACCTGTTGAAATCACAAAACCCATCACATAACACTGACACCACGAGGATGCCCTGTGAGCCACCCCTACCTCTTCCCGCCACCTCTGCAACTTTGTGAGCCACCATCTCCATTTTTGCACAAACAAATTGTAGAGGTTAACCCACTGATGAAGAAAAAACAAAAGAAGATGAGGGAAGCGAAATGAAACATGAAAAATCATTCACAGCATCATTCAGACATTCCATCAAACACTTCTAAGGTGAAGAAAAAGGTTGTGTCGGTGGTGAAGGAATTGTTGAACAGAGTGCTCAAGGTCAAGGAAGAAAGATAAGGGAGATAGGAACCAGCAATGAAACTAACAATCAATTGACTGATAATCACCTTCAACTAATTGAACATCCACTCAACACTAATACTTTAACAAATGTAAACTTAACTAACTGTGATTGTCTTCAGTGTGAATCATCTTAAGCTCGGGAGTTTCATAAGGGAGGAGAGACTCGCATTCCGAGGTGTGCAAATTGGAAGAGTTGGTCTCCAGAAGGTGGAAGGGTTTTCGTTGCGAGGTGGTTGGCAATGAAAGGGGTTAAACCCATTTAAGGGGTCCCATGCAAATTGGATCTAATTTAAACCATTTGTGGATATTGGGTTTTTGTGGAATAGGGATGTTTGTTTACAAAAATTAGTTATGTGGTGAGATGTTTTGGGTTAAGATTGTTTGGTTACAAGAACATGAATGAGCCGAAAGTGTAAAGGTAAATTTGTAAAATCATATCCTCCATTAATGACAGTGAAGCCAACAACTCTGATAGGGGAGGACAGTGTAATTTCAAAAACTATAAGGACGATCCCTATAATTGTCAAAAACCTTAGGGTAGATCCGTGTAACTAACACTTTACAAAAATCATGCAGATGTGAGTCTCTTGGAATATTGTGATGCAATTCTAGAGTGATTGCCCAAGTGAATCTCGGCGCGATTGCTTATGCTATTCTTCTTCTTTCTCCTTCTCTTTTTTTCTGCACTTTTAAACCAACAACAACCATTTAATAAAACGACAGCTTATAATTCTAATATCAACCATTTCGGAATGCAAATATTCGGGATAAGGGTTTTGTAGCAGTTCTTAGCCCAAAGCATCTTATATGTATTTGGATTTCAATAAAGTAAACCATCTGATCTAAATATAATATCAGTTGTTTGAATTTCAAGGCCTATGAAGTGTAGAAGCCCTAAGAGAGATGGACAGTAAGTTTTAAGAGTCTTGCACGTTTGAAACAAGCAGCCACAAACAATATCATTTACAACAAAGTCAACTAACTAAGGCCTCATTTGGGAATAGACTAATTTAATAATTTTTTGGCTATTTGCCTAAAAAAGTAGGTAAAAAAAACTTATATGTTTGGGATGACTTTTTGGCTAATTACGAAAAGATGTGCAAAAAGTAGAGAGAAAGGAGAATCTTTGACTTTTGGGTATGAGTTATTGGCTTTTTGGCTAAAAAGGTAACTTTTTGGCTTTTTGGCTAAAAAGGTAAGTCCCCAAACGGGGCCTAATATGGTTTAATTGCACATGCTATATATAGAAAAAATACTTACATCAGCACAGAGGATAATCCAACTAAATCATAACCAACATCCTTGATTGGAAAGAAAGTCCAAAAGGCAAGTTTGAAACCCATTTACAAAATCACGGTACTCAAACTGTTCAATGAACAATTCAAGAATTATAACAAGAGAATATGTCCATGTTTGATTCGTGATGCATTTTATATCTGGTATGAGTACCTAAGACACTAGTTTCAGTGCCCGAGCTTGTTGCTGATTTTCATGTCTCCTGTTTCTAACTCTCTCACCTTCCGTTTTCTACTTCAAGCACTACCTATAGTGGGGTTTCTTTCCGCAGCTCTATTCTACTTTTTTTTCCCGTCTGCTATTGGTTTCTCTCTCCTATAATCTCAGTGTAACTAGGGCGCACTGCTTGCTGTTTCTGTTTAATTAATTCCAAAATAAAACCCTCTGACAAGCCCATATAAAAATTATATATCAAGTCCGAGAACCCTTGCCTGCTTATTTCTGATAATCCCCCACAAATTTCACCAGATAAATCTAACTTCAAACCCTAAAAAACTTGAATGCATCTTGAAGAAGGCAGGTGTCTAGTCCGCAAATTACTTGCTATGCTATTGGAGGTAACACCAAGAATGAAGGTGGAAAAATCTCATCTATTGTTGCCACAATCCATACAGATTGGTGGTGTTACTGATTTGGGAGTCTAATTGGTGTAAAATTGTCAGTTAAAAGAGCCCATCTGAATCCCTAGTTTTCTCCAACTAAACAACACCATGATGATGATCGATCTACTTGGGAATTCTAAAGCGCGCGAGAGAAAGAGAAGTAAGAGTTTACCCACCCTCCTATTGATGAGATCAGGGACTTCTTCGAGGATGATTGAGCGAGCTTCGCTGCATAACTTTTCGTAGGCTTCAAGAGCCTCCGGAGTGTGCATGTGCTTCTTCATCAAGTTCCAGTCCACTTTATCCAATTCTGACTCACACTTGCTCCGCGCTAGCTCCATTCGCCGCAACCTCTCCTCCTCGTCCCACGGTTTCAGCTTCTCCATTGCTGACTTTGGCACTTTTCTCCACCACCACATATTTACCGTTTTGTTTTGTTTTGTTTTGCTTTGTGTTTTCTTTTCTCCCAAGAAGAGACCAGGGGAAAGGAAGGCGAGATCATGAGCACTTATATCATACTACGGTAGCCCATTAACAAAGGGGAGAGAGAGAGAGAGAGAGAGAGCGAGAGAGATAGAACAAAAGGGGCGAAAAGGGGGCTAGGCGGGTTTCAAACTTGGGAAATTATGTAATTTTTTTTTTTCCAATCCATTTTGTTGAGACAAATCTAAAAAATATTTTTTTTTTGAAAAATTCTAGTAAAAAAACTAAAGACGAAAATAATCCAAAAAAGATAGCTTATTTTGGCTTATTTTTGTCTTCTCTAAATTTTTAATTTTTTTTTTTAAAGTTACAATTTTTGGTTCGTCTTATCTAGCTGAATCTAGAAATTTGAAAAATTTTATAAAAAATTGAGATTTTTTTAAAATCCCTAGTATTAAGATTTTATGGCATAAATGACACTCAATATTTTCATAATGTCTAAGGTCCCTCAATGTCGATCTAGAGAAAATTCTATTCAGAGAATTTCTCTAGACACATCACAGAGAAAATTTCAAATTTCTTTGGACACATCATATAAAAAATTTCAAATAGGGCAGAGAAAATTAAAATTTCACTAGATTCAAACTCTTTTAACATATATTGCAAACAAGTCAGAATCTTTCAAACTCCAAACATCTGTAATCTCATAATGAGCTTAAAATTTACTCAAAACCAAACCATTGCACATCATAGTTGGTGAGCATTGAAACCAAGAAATATACACAAACAAATTATAGATTTCCAAACTGGAGAATTTCTCTGGTTTATACCAGAAAAAATTAGTGGGAATGAGAAGAGAGGGATTGAAGAGAAATAATAAAACACTTGGCGCGCATAAACATGGATTGAACATTTCAATCTAGAGAAAATTGAACAACTAGAGAAAAGTTCAATCTAAAGAAAATTGAACAACCAGAAAAAAGTTCAATATAAAGAAAATTAAACAACCAGAGAAAATTTCAATCCAGAGAAAATTGAATTACTCAAACACCAAAAATAGAGACCAATAGATACCAATTTCATAAGCTTCAGAACCAGAAAACTTGATAGGCCAAGTCCTTGGTGACATTTGAAATTTCAATATTCATATTCGAAGAGGACACATTCTTGACTTCAATCTTCGGATCTCTGGAAATGTTTGCAAATTCTCCACTGCCATCGACAAAGGTCTTGGGGAAAATCACTTACCATGAACATCAATCCAAGCAATTGAACTTTGATTCCCACTCTCCAAATCAATCTGCAACATTCAATAAAAATTGAACAAGCAACAAACTCCCCCAGACGACAACAAAAATTTATTGAATTCATTTAGAGAAAATGATAGAAATTTCCCAAACAATTGATAGAAATTTGACTTCACAGAGAAAATTGGTCCAAGAATTTCTCTGGACTTTCCAAATTTTTTTAATGTTTTGGTACTGGGTTCAATGTTGTTTGTTAATGTAGTTGAGAGAATTTTCTCTGGATCAGAATTTCTTCTGTATTTTTTTACCAAACCAGAGAAAAGCTGTTTAAAACCCACATTAAATCCATTTCAATACAACCATTGCAATTTAGTTCAAGCTCCTTCAATAACAATAATGGCACACAGCAAAACTGTAATACAAAACCAAAAATCCAGAGAAAATTCACACAAATTCTACATCCAGAGAAAATTATGATCCAGAGAAATTCTGGAAAAACTAGAGAATTTCTCTGATATTTTGGTACTGGGTTCGATGTTGTTTGTTGATGTGGTTGAGAGAATTTTCTCTGGATCAGATTTTCCTTTGTATTTTTGATCGAACTAGAGAAAATCCCTTTAAAACCCACATTAAATCCATTTCAATACAACCACTGCAATTCAATTCAAGCTCCTTCAATCGCAAGTAATACAAAACCAGAAATCCAGAAAAAAAAATTCACACAATTTCCACATCCAGATAAAATTCGCACAATTTCCACAAATCCACAAACCAATAGTTGGCCCTGAAAACTTCATAATTTCTAACATTTGATTCCAAACACGAACTCTTCTCTTTTGGACTCAACCATCTCTATTTCTTCATCTTCAACCGAAGCCATTTTTGGAATCTTCACCACTGACAACTTCTTGAATTGGACGAATGCAAGCAGTAATTAACTGATTTTTTGCCGCTACATGAAAGATTCGGAGGCTTGAAGACATGCGAGGTTTGCGATGGCAGTGCAAAGAGAAATGAACTTGCAATTGGTTGAAGAAAGTTAGACGATTATACGATTGTTTGAATTTAGGGTTTTGCATTAGAAAGTAAGTGTTTCGATTTAGGCAAATGGGAGATAATTGACATACCTGACGGCGTTACGTTGGCCACGAAGCTCCGGAGGGAGTTTACGGTCATTGACGGCGTCGATAACACTGGAGAGACGATCGGTGATCTTCTTATTGGGCTTCAGAGAGGCCTTCGACAAAGATGACGCCCACTTGATCTTGGATACGCAGTCACGACCCATAATTCCGATCAGAGATGATGTTAAGTCAGCAACTCTCGTGACCCTAGTTGCCATGGCTCGACGGCATCTGTAGACACCTCATTTTGACCAGCCCTAAGACTTGGGTGCTTTCTGTTGATTACCCGATGATGACAATTAGAATGTGTTCCCCAGTAGTCCTCAACAAGAAAAATAAAATTTGAGCTTTAATCCCAACCTTCACATATTTTTGGCCAAACTATTTTAGACCATAAAACCCTCTTTTCAAAATATTTTTCCAAATGTTTCTACGATATTCCAAGGCTCCCATTTCAATTAAAATATTGCATTTTTTAGTAAACCAAGCGAAGACAAAGTGGAAATAAATAGAAGGGAGGTGAACTCTTTGAAAAAATATTTAAAAACATCTTCTTTATAGGTTTGGATTTAAAAGAAACAGGAGGGGATGGAAGAAAACTGGCTTAGGAAAAGAATGAGCATCAAATCATTAACAAGGAAATGAACAGTTTTCACTAAATTCGGCAAATCTCTTTGTACACTTGGATTTTAAATGTGAGGCCACCACCAATGGAAAGGAGACTTCTGAGCTTCAATTTAGACCAAACAATTACCTAAAAACCAAGTCTAGACAAGGGAGATATGCCCATTTGAAGTTGGGCTTGAGAGCAGATTTTGTTGACTTGGCCTAACAGAAATGAACATCTTTTACTAAATTAGTCATATCTCTTTGTACACTTAGATTTTAAATGTTAGGCCACCACCATTGGAAATGCGACTTCTGGGGCTTTAATTTAGACCCAAGAACCACCTAAAAGCAAATTCGGATAAGAGAGATATGTCCATTTGAAGTTAGGCTTAAGAGCAGATTTTGTTGACCTGGCCCGAGGGAAATGAACAGCCTTCACTAAATTAGGCATATCTCTTTGTACACTTGGAATTTAAATGTAAGGCCACCTGTCACGACCCAAACACGCCCCTGTAGGTTTAACGTCGTAATCGACCAGTAATCCTCGGATTACCAAAGGCCTCATGACTTAATAATATATAACAAGGGCTACGGAAGCAACACACAGAACATGTATAGTCCATTAAGCTGTACTGACATACATGAAACCGATAACTTAAAACTTCTTTATAACAAGATACAATATTTACACACACTCCAAGTACATGCCATCAGACATCTTGTCCAGACACAACATAGTATAAGCATAGTTCAATGTGTTTACAAAAACAGCCATAAAACTTGACTTCAATCGGAATCTCCTCAGGAGGCACAAGGGTTGACTGACAAAACTGAAGCATAGGCCATCAACTCTGGGCCTGATCACGTGCTTGCTCACCTGTATACATAATATAAATAATGAGCTAAAGCCCAGTAAATAATAGCAGAGTAAAGATTTTACTAAATGATATCCATACAGAAACAAAGCCTTGTACATAATTGGTTGTCATAACAGAGCAGATTCATAGGCATAGTTACGTTCGTATTCAAAACTTGTACATGTATCATATTATATCATGTGACACGTCCATTAGCATTAACCAATCCGATGACCCACGGGGGACTGCCATGGAGGTTTTCTGATGCCCCATGTGCATAGAGACGTTTCCGATGACCCATAAAGGGACCTAATGACCTATAAAGGGACGCATATCATATGACGCTAAGGATGTCACAAATAACTTTCAAAATCTTGGACAATCACTCATTCATTTCAAACATAGCATAGCATTTTAGAAAACTAATTACTTCATATCATAATGTTTAGAAAAATACTTAACATTGAACATAACTTTACAAGGTTATTACTCACAAATACTTGGTCGCCCCAATTAGATGGCAAAATAGCTCTTCATTTATCCTGATGCGCGTGACCTACAGGAATACACATACAAATATACACTTGAAACACACGCTCGAATTATACATAACTTACTTCATTTGTTCTTAGGCCTCATTTGGGAACAGGCTAATTTAGTAACTTTTTGGCTATTTGACTAAAATATGAGCTAAAAAAAACTAGTATGTTTGGGATGACTTTTTGACTTTTTACGAAAAGATGTGCAAAAAGTAGAGAGAAAAGAGAATCTTTGACTTTTTGGTATGGGTTGTTGGCTTTTTGGCTAATTTAGTAACTTTTTGACTTTTTGGCTAAAAGGGAAGGTTGCCAAACGAGGCCTTAGTGTGTTTTTAGCCTTTAACTTCATTATGGAGCCTTAACCATGGCCTAGGAATGCCTAAGATGGAATGAAGATGCAAAAATGTACTTGAAATACTTAGCCAAATTTTTGCTGAAACAAGGGTCTTGCTTGAGCGTAGCTTTCTTCGCTCGAGCGGACATGTCAAATGTGATTGGTCGCTCAAGCATAAACTCCTTCGCTCAAGCGATCTGCAAAAATGTGAAAAGAACTGGTTACTAAAAATCTTCGCTTGATGCTCGCTTGAGCGTGAGACACAGTTCCTCGCTCAAGCGCAGGTCTTGTCGCTCGAGCGTGCTTCTACACACGCAAAAATTCTGAGAGCTTGCAATTTCCGCTCGAGCCAACCTTCTGTCGCTCGAGTGGAAGAATGAAAACAAACATGGTCACTCGAGCATAGGATCCCTCGCTCGAGTGTGGAAGCAAAATTCTGGGTTTTCCAGATTTACTCCCAAGCTCAAACCATGAGTTTAACTCTTCAAAACACATCTCTTGGGCCCCAAAACTTGAGATAACAAGGTAGACTTGTACAACATGAAGAATTGAAGGTTATTTCACAAAATTATGGTCCAAGAGTTTGCCAATTGTATAAAATTTCAACATGACCTTATGAATACTTGAAGAACACAACATGCGTGAATTGTTCTTGAACACAACCTCTTTAAGACATGATCAAACTTGGCAATTTAATGGAAAACATGATAAACTCCCAAAATGTATGTGAGATGAACACATGCATGAAAGAAATCTTTGAAATCATGCTCAATTTGTAAGCAAATGCACATGCATGCATGGTATGGCCCAATTTTCCTCAATTCTAATGCAATCCCTCCATGAATTCACTTAATTCATCAATAATCTTGTAGAAACCAACTCAATTACTCAATTAAGAGTTTAGTCCCTTACCTAGAGGCTTGAATTTACAATGGTTAAAGTTAAGATCTTCAAATTTCCTTCAAATGCCAACAATTCCCCTTAATTGAGCTCAAATTTTCAAATCTTACACCAATTCTCCCTTCTCCCACTCTCTCTCACGTTTTGTGTTGAAGAAGGAAGATGATAGAGTCGAAACATGTATAAGGTGTGAAACAATCTTGTAAAAGCCCACTCAATGGCACACTTGTAAATAACTTGAGCTAAACTAATTAACATTAGTTATTCTAATTTAATCGTTCCAAATCGACGTTTAATTAAACTTACCATAAAATCTCATAAATCCTAATTAACACATAAATCAAGTCAATTTTTGGATCGGTTGCCAATTAGGCTTCCAATTCACAAGTCGAAAGAAAAACATACCAGATTTTCCTATGTTAAACATATATAGACATAATTCATGCAACACACACATGCAATTAAATCCAAAATTTCACCTTAACTACTAATTAAGCATAATTAACCATAATTTAACATTAATCAGGGATCGGGGTTGTTACACCACCACCATTGGAAAGTATACTGCTGGGGATTCAATTTAGACCCAAGAATCACCTAAAACTAAGTTCGGATAAGGAAGATATACCTATTTGAAGTTGGGCTTACTAGTAGATTTTGTTGACTCGGCCCAAAACAGTAGTAGCCCCGTTTTTCTTGGTTTTGGTTCGGTTGGGACACCCCATTTACCTATTTTATGATTCATTCAAGTGCACGCACTCATCCTCCATTATCTCCACTCACCCTCCCTTATCAAAAGAGGTTTTGGCCTTGTCATAAAGGATGAATTAAAAGCAACAAAGTCTTGATCATCATTGTTATCCTTGTCATGCCCATCGCCTTTGTCTCCCACCTTGTCCCCCATTCCTTGACTTGTTTATTCCTACATGGCTTATACATTTAGATCATATATTGAAGAGGAAGATGATGGAATGAATGAGAAGAAAAATCATTCGAGAGAGTTAGAGAGAAAATAGAGCAAAAGAGGAAAAATTGTCTACATTGCAACCTTGAGCCAAAACACTTCCAAGCTTTCATAGCTACTGAAATTCCTCATTTCTATACACCAAAACCACTCCAAAAATTCTGATATAGCCAAAGATCAATTGCCTTGATCATTAGAAGAGTGTTTAGTGATTGAAAGTGAGAAAAACTAGAGAGATAGCCACTTTCCATACCATAAACTCTATAATTTCGAATTGAGGATTTGAGAACACACTTCCTATACTTGAGGGTGATCAAGAGGGAGTTTGTGAACTAAGGAGTTCATCCTTTTCTTGGAAGGTGAATTTCACAAACTTTTTCATTTTCTTGCATTTCTTACTTATTTTGCCCATTTGTTTTGATTTCTTTACTCTTTTGCTTTGATTTCTTGTTATATTATATATTGTTGTAATCTAATTGAAAGTAGTGAGTTGAGACTCCCATATATATTGTTGTTAGTTCTGTTTTTGTTGTGGAAATCTAAGAAAACAAAGTTTGGCGGAGCCTACTGGGCTACCCGACTTGTTAGTTAGTCAGGTAGCCACCTAAAAGTACACCATCGCGCCCGCGACCTTCATGACCGTGCCCGCGACCTCTAGGCAAAATCGGACAGCCTTCTAACGTTAAGAAGATCAACCTCCGATGGTCTTTGAGGTGCTTGAAGCTACTGTTTTCTTATGTTTATTTTATTTTGAGTGTTTGTAAGGATTTTTTTATACTGTGTTGTAATATTTATTCATCTCCCTTAGATTTGTAATATTTAAAGTGTTGTAATAATTCCCTATCCCCAATTCTTATCTATCTCATTCTTTAATCGCTTTCCATAACTGTGCATATGTATGTATCTTACATGTCATCCATGCTTTTATATACATGATTTGTACCTAGATCCGGCTAAATTTGAGTATTTGTGCTTTAATTAATTATTACATGATTTTGTGCGTTATCGCATATTTTGCAATGTTTCACATGTCATGTTTTAGAAGCCGGATCTTTAGAAGCATTCTTGTGTATGTATTGCATTAGGATTTTGTATATAGGATCATGCATATTTTACTAACTTTGTTTTGTAACTGTTTGCGGGACGTCGGTAAATATGTAAGTTGTTATGCTTTAGCATCCTGCTTGTACATAATTTTCTTATTATGTTTAGCATCTTACCATGTGACTATTTGCTTATGTGATATAATTGTATGAATGACAGTGGATGGAGGTTGTGTCGCTTAATTTGTAATGATGTTGGTTTTTCATGTTTGTAAATTCAATTTATTTGGGTTGTACATCTTAAAAACTCTTTCAAAATATATGAAATCAAATTGTTCCAAAATGAATGGCGTAGTCTATACTTGTATGCTTCACATGGTAAATTTTTGGATTTATTAAATAATTAGAACATGAACATATAAAGAAAATAAATTCATATCATGGTTTAGTAAAGGCTGATTTTTTGATCGGGTGAGCGAGGGTGCTCAATTAATGACCTCCCCTCTCATACCTAAGGTTCCGAACTGAGACAACTTTGGTTACGACGAACGGTGGCCCTGGCACGAGTCACGAGTTTTCTAATTTTTTCAAAATAAATATCAGGTGGCGATTCTGAGATCTGATGACGCAATCCATTTGTGACAAATATTTTTTTTGCAATAAAATGGATGTTCTACAAGTTGCCAAATGTGTACTCTCGTCTAAGTTTCACATTGCACTCATGAGACTAAATTAAAGAGATCGAGGGTCCAAACTGTTTAACCCGTATGGGTATCTCCCGGGCATGTTACAGCGTTGGAGATGAAGACCGAGAGAGGAGACAGGAGCAAAGAGAGAGGGGAATGTGCACAAAGAGAGGGGTTTGGTTTAGATAGATTGAAGATCAGAGAGAGAGAGAGAGAGAGAGAAAGTCAAATTTCTCTGATCTGATATATGAGTGTGGGTTCAAGAACCTTAGACATCAAAAAATAATATTGTGAATTTTTTCCATTACTAAAAATAGGAGAGAGACTTTAGACTAATTTTTTTTAAAAAATTCACTAAAAACAAAAATAAGTCCAAAGAAAAAAAGTTAAAAAATGCACTTTGCAAACACACCTCGAACTGATCTCTTTTAGTTTTTTTAGTTATATCCAACCACTAACATTAAAAATAACTTAGCGGTGTGCGTGTACAATTTAAATAAAAAAAACATTATATTTTATATACTGCTGCTCAAGTAGTGATTGTGTTTTTTATTAATTTTTTTTTATAACAAATATTATACATTTTAAATCTATCTAAATTAGGTATCTCTAAAAAAAAGTTACATAAAATATTTTTAAAAAATATAATAAATAAAAAATCAATTTTTAAAAAGTGTAAACCAAACAATTCGAATAATTTTTCACTAATAAATTATGCTTAAAATAATTAGATGAATTAATTAAATCTTCTATCTAATTAATTTTAAAAATACTAGCAAAATAAACAACTAAATGTGCTCTCTCTATGTTTCTTCAGAAAATATACGCACATGTGGAAGTGTAAATGGGTTTTGATTGTAGGAAAGTTTCTTTCCTCTATATTACACAGCCTAAGGCCAAAAAACAAAACAAAAAAAGAAAAGAAGAGAAGAGAAGCAACTATATGATATGAATTCACCCAACTACTCTACTCTCTACTGTATGGGCTTTTGTCTTAACATTGTAAATCACAAAAGGCTATATCAAAGATACATCTTTGCATATATCATGCAGTTTACAAAAATATTATTCAAGAATGCAACATGTCAGATCAACAGGTTACAAAACTCACATGGTGCAATAAAATTGAGTACAATATTTGTGAAGAACACTTTATTTATGAACAGTAACTAACCATTCGGAACTAGTGCATATAGAGGAGAACAGTAAAAACAAACCGATTGTTAGTAGGCTCCTATAAGTGCTCATGATTATGAAAGTCAAGGAACAGTCAATGCGAGGCAACTAATCACAATCACAATTTGCAGAAATAAATAAATAAACAAGAATAAATGGTGAAAAAGACACAGAGAAAAGGGAATCTCGTATCATTTTCTGTTCAGCTGACATGTTTGGAAGTTTAGAGAAAGATACCACTTTAAGTTACTATTAAAGTAAATAGGAAAGACTCGGTGATTCCACAAAATCTAAAATTACTAAAAAGGGCATCGCTCTCCCTCATTCTTTATCCAATTCTGACTCACACTTGCTCCGCGCAACTATTATCTTTCATCATCACTGTCGTCCGGAATTAGGTAGCCCGGATCAAGCGTAATTAAAAATTCTTCTAACTGTTCAACTTCAGCAAGCATTGAGTTTAGCAATACAATATCTTCAAGGTCCTTGGCCTTTTTCAAGCCAGCCAAGTCGCGCTCATATTTTTCCAAATATACCCGTGGAATTTGCTTTCTCCAGAACTTTAGCATCTTTTCAATCCGATTGATATTTAATTCGGTCACACTTTTGAGTTGCATCAAAGCATTCTTCTCAACATTCCTTTTCCCAGAGAGTATTGCCTTTTTAGCCGTCATCCGAACATAATCCTCACTGATTTTATCTAAATAATTAATTTCCATGGACCACTCCAAATCTGTATCCTTGCTCTTGGCTAAGACAGTGAGAAAACCTTTTTTATCAACACAAAAGTCCAACTTAATACTAACCACACCGCATGGTGCACGCGGAATGCCAGTCACCTTAAGTTCTCCAAGAAGATCATTCTTTGAAGCTATCTGGTGCTCACCCTGTAAAATGCGAATGTAAAGACTATCGGGATAGTCCAATGGTGACGCAATGTTTTGGCTTGCCGTGCAAGGGATCACACTGTGTCTCTCAATAATCCTTGCAAATCCTCCCCCCAAGGTCTCAATCCCAAGAGACAGTGGAATCAAGTGACCGGACAGCTTCCTTCGATCTTCAATAATGAGAGCACCTTGTAAGAGAGCACCAATAGCCACAGCCTCTTCTGGGTTCACTTGCATGCAAGGAGATTTCAAAAAAATTTCTTCAACAATGTGTTGTACCTGACGAACCCTTGCCATCCCACCGACCAATATGACTTCATCAATCCCCTGCTCATCTACATGTGCTGCTTCCAAACATTTCTGGCATAGTTTTCTTATTCTCTCAATCAGGAACTCCACTAGTTCCTCAAATTTTGAGACTGGAAGTGTCATGTTCAAATGTACTGGGCCACATTCAGATCCTGTGAGGTAAGGGAGATCAATCCAAGTCTCACAAGAGGATGAGAGTTCCAACTTTGCCTTCTCTGCAGCCTCCTTCAGCCTCCCCATAGCTACTCTGTCTCCAGAGACATCCACAGAATAAACCTTCCTAATCTCTTCAACCATGTACTCCACTAAAACAAGGTCAAAATCCTCACCCCTCAGTGATGAATCAGACTCCTTAGCTTTAACCTTACACCAAAGAAAGCAATTAATTAGTAATTGGCAGATCAAATAGCAGGAATACAACCGTAGATGAATAACATACCTTGATAACTCCAGCAGAGATCTCAAGGATTGAGATATTGAATGTTCCACCACCCAAACTGAAAACTGCAAAAACACCACCATCTATGTTCTTGGAGGAGAGAGCAGCAACAACCGGCTCATCAACAATTCCAAGCACATCCAGACCTGCAATTTTTCCAGCCAACTCTAGTTCTTTTTTTTGGGCATCATTGAAGTAAATTGGAGCAGCTATTACAGCTTTTGAGACGCTTCGCCCAAGATATGACTCAGCCATCCTTTTCATCTTGTCAATGATGAATGCACAAAGTTTAGTTGGAGAGAATTGTTCATTACATGCTTCTACCCAAGCTTCGCCATTAGATCCCTCAATAATCTTGAAGGGAACCTTGGTCTTCAACTCTTGTATTTGTGAGTCCTGAAATTTCCTCCCCAACAAAGTCTTGATATTGAAAAAACTGTCTGCAGGGTATCCTATGGCATGGTAATTTGCAACTTGACCGACCAGTATTTTCTTCTCATCATCAATTGCAACGAAGGATGGAATAGCTTCTCCACTTTCAGTCTCAAGCAGTGTTGGAACCTATTGAAGTGGGTCACAAAATGTTAAAAGGATTAGAAACACACCTACTCACGAAATTTTATCAGACTAGTGATCTTGTGTTATGTCCATTCAACAATGCCTTTTGCTCATCCACAAAGCAGTGAAGTTCTCTTTAATCAAAACAGATAATACAAAAATTTATTACAACATCAAGTGAAGCATTAATTTTGCTGTATTGATTTGTAAATTGATAGGATAAGGACTAATTAATTCAGATATGATTACAACAGAAATAAAAATGACAGTAAGAATAATGATAACTGTTAGAATATGTTGTCATAAGTTATTTTTTGTGTCAAGTGAGAGTACTATGGTCATATGGTCACATCGTAATTTATATAAATATCTGCTGTTGGCTTTAGGTTTATTTCAAGAGCCTAAAAACACACGTTCAATATATCTTCTTCTCCTTGTTCCTTCACTCTCTCTCTTTCTAAACCTAATCTAAGTTTTTCATACTTTTACACTTAAACAATAACGATACCAAAACAAGAAGAAATTTCAAGCTCAAAGAATACTTGTATTGCAAACCTTCACATTTTGTTCCTTCTTTTAAAGAAAAGGTTTATAGGCTTTTCCTAATCATAGTATTCCAGTAAAATCTTAGGAAATATCAAACTTACAAACACAGCAAAGATGTAAAAAATATAATAAAAATTAGAGTTTGCTAACGAACCTCTGCATCCATGATAGCCAAACGTGATTTGGAAGTACCAAAGTCAATGCCAACGACGTCATCTCCATGCCATATATTACTAGGGCAATTACAAATAACAAAAGAACAAAAAGACATAAAAGATGCAAAAGCATTAGCTTTTCTACAAAATTTTAAAATAAAAATAAAGAAAATGATAATAATATAATTCAAATGAATATCAAAGTGTCACGCATTTACCTGAAAGCTCTAACTGCATAAGCGCATCTCTAAGAATTGAAAAGTTATCCTAGTTAGAACCTCAGATAACAGGAAGACCAATTGGACAGTGAGGGGGAAAAAAAAAAGAACACACAGGAAATAGAAGCAAACGATTCCTTATGTTTGTAAATCTATCTCTTCTTTTTTTTTTCTTTTTTTTTTTTTTTTTTTTTTTTTTTTTTTTTTTTTTGAAATAAATACAAACATCCCATACCAATGATCAATGAAATTCAAATGCACGAACAACATCAAAGAAAGGCCCATCTTTTGGAGGAGAAGCAATCCAGCAACAAAACTATTTTCCCATCTATTGCTTGTTCCAACATCCTACAATTAAAGCTAATGGATACCAACAACGTCTATATGTATTATATAGTCATGGCACAACAACACATTGCTAGTGTTATCTTTTCAGATTTGTGACAGATGAAAGCTCCAGTTCTTTAAATTTTATTCTAAATAGTACTAATAGTAGTAAGCAATCTACAAGTTTAGAGCGAAGAGTTCGTCTATAAAAATTCAGAAGATAAAATCCTTTTTTCTCTTCATCCAATTTTCAATAGGAAGCCACACAGAATAATCCAAATTCCTTTGTCCAAAGCCCAGTACGGCACAAGAAAAATTCAGACCATCCACTATTTACACAAAAATAACCTCAACTAGACAAGTTCATCAACAAGATATGGCAGGAGAAATTGAAGAGGAAAAGGGGATGGTACTAGGCATCTGATCCTGTCTAATGAAGTTGCAGGCATTGGAAACCCAACCTTGTAGCAAGGCTATTTAATTAACAAACACCGCAATCATAAAATCATTGAGAAGTTCAGATCCATCATCTGTGTAAATAAACTAATTCCTTTTGCCTCCTTATGGAAGAGGCAATTTGATCTAACTCCCACTCATCAGAATCTACAGAGTAATTTTTCACATAGCCAACCATCGTAACAAAAATAGTCAATATGGACCTATTTTCACCAAGCAATCGCAAAAAGGTCATTCATGATTCAGATCATACTGCACTTACCAATTTTGAGATGAACTTGAGTGATTTATATTTTTTGGTTTAGTTAGCTATTTATTTTTGATTGAGAATATTTTTGTCATTTTTAGCCATTTTGGTTTTGCTCTTTATAAATTGTGTAATCTAACTCTATGGGTGAGCTGTTAGGGTTAATGTAATAATATTATTATTTTCTCCGTAAACTTACACTCCCCAAGGTTCCATTCAGTTGTTAGGAAAAGGAAAAAAAAAAGTCCAAGAAAATCAATCTTCATGTTCATTTAGCAACAAAGTAGTGGGACTCATATTTTTAACTTTTCCACCACCAGGATATGTTTTCCCTCAAAACATGTCTAACAAAAAATACAAGATTTTGTGGGAATTCTCAACAATACACTTTCCTTTTCACACATGAGAAAACAAGTTTCCTTTTACTTTACTACACTTTTCTTGGGTAGAACTTTCTCACACAAAATTCTTGACAACTGAACGGAGCCCAAAGGCATTTTCATGGACAGACTTAAGAATCCATCAAGAAACCCGTGTTGCGTTGAAAATTTACTTGAATAATTCCTACCTAAGAAGCAGAGGCTTTGGGCCGATCAGCACTTTCGCATTCAGCAGCATAAGTCATTAGTTAGTTATCAGCATATGATCAAAAGTTTGTCAATTTATATATATATATATATATTTATTTCCTGGAAGTCGAGCTTCATCCAGTATGCACTATGCTTCCTACCAACTGCTAGGCCACAACTTTGTACTACCACCTTTTCTTTCCCTCCAGTTCATTCAACTTCCCATGGTTGTGCATCTTAAACTATTTAAAAGGCATGTTTCAGATGTTAGAAAAAATAAAAATAAACACGCTATTGAGAAATTGCAGACCATGCTGCTTACAGAAACATCACACACAGATACAGAATGTACTCTGATTCTCTGAATGCCAAGGTATGCACACGTGCTAGTCACACGGTTCATAATTGCAGCTTGACCAACACTTCATGCTACAAGCAATCATCCCCACTAGAAACTTACATTCTAAAGGTTCAAGTTGGCTCTTTCACAAGTACCTCACTGAATAAACTAATGATGTTGTTTCAAACAAAAATAATGAACCAAGCAAGATTAGCTAAAATAATCATATTCAATTAATCCACTGCAGATTCAACTGGATACATTGGTAAGGATTGATTAATAAGCCTCTTGTAATCAAAGGCATGAGTACAAGTGTGAACTCTTATCACAACAATTATCAAGTACATATCCCACCATACAAGAAAATCATGAGAGTCAATTATTTTCCTTCATGATTAGCTAAAATACTAATACATTAAATGGTAACCTACAGAAATCAAATAAATTTCAAATACTCAGAGACTAACCTCTTCTTATGCAAGAGCTGAAAATGACACCCTCTAAAGTTATATATGCTTGATTAAGTAATTAAGCACAAATTAGAATTATGGACAGCATAAAGCATTAATTGATCCAAAAATACACTCACACTAACTAACTAGAGTAGTAAAACACTTGCTAACCTGAACCCAGGTGTGTACTGGTTTCTGAGCAAGCATGTTTATCTGGCAATTATGCTGAGAGCTTTGTAGATTTCCCAGCAGAGAGAGATATGTGAATGTTGAAATATACCAAAAAGAAAAGACAATTTATTAAGAACATTAACTGCACTGCACATGTTTGCTATCGCTATATCTTAGGAAAGCGTATGAAAGAACTAATTTCAATATTTCGTTACGAATAATACTAGTGATCATTGAAAAAAATATTATCATGAAAATTTTTCAAATGATGTTTTATTTTATGTATAATGTAATGATAGCGAATCTTTTACCTCCTTACATTTCCAGAATGTCAAGCAGATCTACGCCATGGATGGTCGGCGGCGGAGAGAGAGAGGGGGGCGGGAGATGAAGCGGCGGACTATTATCAGTATAGTCATTTTAATCGATAAGATAAAATATCATATTTTAATGTATAATTATTATTTTTTTTTTCACAAAAAATTAAAAGATTAAAAAAAAAAACCTTCATGCTTTTAAGTCCTCAAATTAAAATAGTTAAAAGATCAAAAAAATCAATTCACTTTCCAAATAAACTCTATATCAGTTTTACATTTTGATAATTTTTTAAAAATTAAAATATTATTACTAGGAAATTGAGTAGAATAAATATTAGATATATAATAAAATTATGTGGTATGATATATATTATTTTTTGATTTATTATACACCCAATGATGTGGATTTTAATTTTATTACCATATCATTTTGGCTGAATTAATGAATTTTTAACATTTCTTTTGAATTTATAAAAAAAAGAAAGAAATTATGGTATGTAAGTTTTCTCAACAAATAAATATAAAACAAATATTAAAATAATTCTCTAAAAAATTTACTAAGATAATTCTCTGAACTAATAAAAAAATAAAAAAATACATATATACACAAATAATTAATTTTATTAATACATTTACAAGTTCTAATCCTGAATCTATAGCATGTATCATCGGTGCAAGATATGAAATAAGAGTAAACAAATATGGTAATGTCATATTGGTTACAACTTTTTAAGACGATACTTGGTTATAACAAAAATGAGTTTAAACTTTATACAAATAAGGCCCTAGGCTTGTACAAAATAAATACAACAATAACAAAACAAAACAAAAAGCTATTGGCTTCCAATTCTCCCAAGCTACTGTTTTGGTGGAGGCATATCATCAATACTTGAAAATGATTTTTCCCATAGGGTGAGCCAAAACTCAATAAAGATATTCTAATATAGTGTATGAATCTTAATAGAGTTATAAGATGGATGCCCATGCAATGTTCGTGAAAAACATTTTATATCTATTTTCAAACCATGCTATGCCAGGTTTATATCACAATTCATGCAATTCATTCATTTTCAATAGAAAACAGGGCAGTAGATACAACACTGGAATTTCTAGGACGTGCCTGCAAGTAGGCTACAAGCACTACTAATTTGTCATTTTTACCGGCATTAACCGGAAGGCTCAACACCTAACTACGTGGGTTTCTAGATTTTCATCAAAGATATACAGGCCAACATAATACCATAACTACACTCCTGCCCAGATTTATCAAGGTATTCACCAATTTTTCTCAAAACAACAACATTTTTAATGTGTGAAATATGTTATAATGCTCAATATAAATAGATAAGAAAATAGTTCAACTCACCTAATTCTCATGCAATTTTTACAACAATCTTAACTATCATCTACTGATAGCCCAAAACAGACATTTCTAAATAGATAGTTAATTTTCAACATAGATATACTTTTCAACATTTCCAATTAGGAGTGATAATTCATATCCAACTTCGCCACCATCATCATCATTGTTTCAATTCAATAAAACCAACATCAATTTCATTTTCTCTTTACAAAAATCAAATTTTCACAATTTAGGACAAAACCCCCATTTCTTTAAAAATCAATCTCCGTAAGTAAAATCCACTATTTAGCCCAACCCAACCCAACCATTTTTACCAAACCACAATCATATACAAGAGCCCACTTTGAAAACCCCTCTTTCGATTTCAAAACCAAATCGTAGGTTTTATCCAAAAATTCCCAAATCACTATCTTGTTTAGAAAAGCAAATAACTAAGTTAAAAATCATAAAAAATGTCAAAGTAATCCTTACCTCAAAGACAAGAACTAAGAAGGACAAGAGTTGAAACTTGACGGAGTTGAAAACGAACTTTGCTCCGATTAAAACGAAGCTCTAGGTGAGCTTAACCGTTTTATCAAAGGGACTATGGTGTAGAAATCAACAAATCAAGATGTATTTGAGTTTTAGAGAGGGTTTCTAGAGAGAGAGTAAGTAGATCTAGGTTTTGAAGGGTTTTAGAGAAAGAGAGAGAGAGATGAGAGAATGACTCAAAAGTAACCCCCTTTGGACTGATATACGCACAGATCACTCGAGCGCAGGAATGGTCGCTCGAGCGACCAGACACAACGAAAACGCCACTCAAGCGCAAGAATGGTCGCTCGAGCACATAATGCATCTCTTCCAGTAGTTCAGACCTACAAAAGTTCGCTCAAGTGCAAGAAGCATCGCTTAAGCATAGATATCAAGCTCTTAGTAGTTTGTAGATTGTAAAAGACCGCTCGAGTGCAAGAAGCGTTGCTCGAGCGAACATGCAAAATTCTGGACATAATTTCTTTTGAAAAACAAGCTACCAACCTGTTCCAAACTAGACAATGATACTCCAATAGCCAAACTCAATGAAGTACAAGATGAATAAGGAGTTGAACAACCAATAAGACAAGGGAATTCCGGATCCAAAACAATAAACAGACCATGTCTAAACTAGAATTGCTATAGAGAGTGAATCTCTCAGACTGATATATGCATAAGCCGCTCAAGCGACTAAAACACCACTCGAGCGAACAAACACAAAAAGTTGACGCCGCTCGAGCGACAAAAACCACTGCTTGAGCGCATAATGACCCCATTTTAGTAGTTTTGCAGACTGCAAAAGACTACACAATGATCGCCTCCCAATAGTTTTACAGATTGCAAAAGACCGCTCTAGCGCAAGAAGTGTAATGCCCCGAAATAATTAGCATTAACTCATCTCATAACAATGCTACAATAAGAACAATCTCATAACTTCTATTCCTTATATCTTTGATCATTACAAAGATGACATGCATTATAGATTAACAATTCCTAGATTTTGAATCTATAGCATATAGCATGGATACAAGAGTAAAAAGGGAAGTAAAACCAAGTAATGACAAGAAGATACGATACAACTTTCCAAGTAAAACTTTCCAATTTTCCAAGACGACATGATAAAACCAAGTAAAACCAAGTAATGGTTTCAACTTTCCAAGACGATACTTGGTTATAACAAAATGAGTTTAAACTCAATATAAATAAAGTCTAGGGCTTAAACAAAAATAATTACATCAAGAAACCAAAAATGAAGCCTTAAGGTCCAAGTCCTCCCAAGCTACATCCTTGTTGGAGGCATATCATTAGAATCTGAAAGTTGTTTTCCACATAGTGTAAGCCAAAGTCCAGTAAAGATACTCTAACACAGTATATGAATTTTAGCAAATTTATAAGGTGAATACATATGCATGCCATTTGTCAAACATTTGTCGTTTTCCATCTCAAAACAATGTAATTCCACATTATAAATCAATTCATGAAAATAATCATTTTACAATAGAAAATTGGGCAGTGGATACAATATGCTGGGAATCTCTAGGTACATGTCTGTCAGTGCACTATACAAGCATTACTACAGCTACTAACCGAAAGGATCGGCACCTAACCGCACAGGTTTCTGAACTTTCACCAAGGACACGCAAACCAACATCATAACCACAACAACACCCCCTAACTAGATTCACTAAGGTATTCACTCATTTTTCTCAAAATTAATGCATTTACGATGTTTAATATGAAATGATGCTCAATGCACAATCTATGATAAATTAGTTTCAATTCAACCTAATCCTCATGCAATGTCTACAACAATCAAGACTATACTCCACCGATAGTCCAAAACAGATATTTCTATTCAATAAATAATTTTCAATCAAAAGATACAATTTTATCTATGGGAGTGATACTAAATATCCAACTCCACCATCATCATCAACATAAACATTGTTCCAATTTCACAATACCCAACATTATTTTCCATTTCCCTTCATAATTCCAAACATCCAAAATTTAGGGCAAAACCCCCTTTTGTTACAAAATCAATTTTAAGAAAATATATCCATCATTTTAACAAAGCTCAACCATGACCATATGCCCACAACCATTTTCAAGAACCCATCTGGAAAAAAACCCCTATTTTGATTTCAAATTCAAACCCTAGATTTTCCCAAAAATCCCCAAATCATTAAACTTTTTTAAAGGGAAAATAACTAAGCTAAAAACCATATAAAAGAGTCAAAGAAATTCCTAACTCAAAGTAGAAGACAAGGAGAAATGATGGGTAGAACTTGGCAGAGCAAAAAACACTAACTTTTTCGATTAGAACAAAACCCTCGATGTGCTCAATCTTTTACTCCAAAGGACTAGGGTGAAGAAATAAAGGATTGATAGTATTTAAAGCTATAAGGTAAGAACTTAAAGAGAGAGAGAGAGAGAGATGAAAAAGTGACTGAAAATGGCCCTTTCTCGGACTAATATATGCACAAACTCCTCGAATGACCAAAACACCACTCGAGTGAACAGACACAATAAGTTATACCGCTCAAGGGGCCAAAACCACCGCTCGATCGCACAATGACCCCCTCCCAGTAGTTTTGCAGACTGCAAAAGGCTGCTCCAGCGCAAAAAGCATCGCTCGAGCATAAATATCACACTTCCAGTAGTTTTACAAGCTGTGAACAGGCAAAAATTTAGGCAATAACTCATTGAAAAACTAACTTTCCAACCTGTTTCAAATACAATCAAAACTCCCAATAGCCAATTTCAACAAGCAAAAAATGAAAATGAGATAAACAATAATTAAGTACATGGGTTCTCGGATTCAAAAGCAAGAAAATGGGTCGGATCTAAACTAGAATTCTTATAAGAAGTATCGCTCGAGCCCAGATATCACACTTCTAGTAGTTTTACAGATTGTAAAAGACTACTCGAGCGGTCAAATCGTTTGAGCATAGATATCACACTTCCAGTAGTTTTACAGATTGTAAAAGACCGTTTGAGGGCAAGAAAGATCGCTCAAGCAAAGAAGTAAAAATCTGGGCAACAACTCTTGGAAAAACTAACTTTTCAACCTATTTCAAATACAACCAAAACTCCTAATAGCCAATCTTAACAAGTAATAAGATGGAGATGAGATAAACAACAATTAAGTACACAGGTTCTCGAATTCAAAAGCAAGAAAATGGGTCAGGTCTAAATCAAAATCGTTATATTCACTTTTTATGATAAGGTTATTAGTGCTA